AAATTCTCATTTTCAAGTACATAATTTTTTATATCCTTCGCGTTATATCACCCTATCCAAATGTAATCAGAAGGAAAAGTGAAACAATTTTTAATCAGTATATTAAAACCAAAACACACAAAATAAAGCTTTTTTTTTATAAGCATACGTGCTTCATTAAAGATTCTCCTCTTTCTTTTATCTTTATAAGGACATTAATCAGGTATGATATAAAATGAAAATTTGATATCGTAAATAGTCTTTAGAAAAATATGAAAACATTTATAAACTGCTTTCTCTCAAGAACACACGAAGTATTGAGATTAGTTTTTAGAATACAGTGTCATAGAACATGAATAGTATTTCAGTATATTAATCGTAGTATAATATTTCATGATATTGTTCAGTGTCAGTGTATGTCTATTCTGTCGATCATAGTTATTTGACAGTAACCGAAAAATGTTTACTCCTAACAAAACACAGTTCCTAATGATAATAGTAAAAAATATACGATGGAAGGAAGTAACAGCTTATTTTTCTGACGTGTCTGTGTTTTAATGATTTCAACAAAGGTATGTACATAGTTACTTCTGTTATTATTTAATTTTTTATTTTTAAAATCTACAAATGTGAACCTTGAAAATAAAAAAAATCTATATTTTCTAAATCCCTGATTTTTTAAGCAAAATATAGCATCTACGTTACAGATTTTCAAATAGTATTAAAATTGTGAACAGAATGTTGTTATTCACTAAAAATTCTTTTTCTGCTTTGAGTTTCATAAGTCATTTTCTAACCTCTCTTAAGTTTTAGTTTCTACACTAGCTGCATAATTAATTTACAATTTTTGTTTCAAAATTGTACGTAAAAGAAGAAAAATACCTGAAGAATCTTTTTAAATACACTACTTCACTGATTCTTTTGATTTTTAATAAAGTCCCTATTTATTGTTTCTAAAGTTAGTTTTATTTTGTCCAATAATTCATAAATTTGTCAATCTTCTAAATGTTTCGAACAGTGTCGTATCATTATTTTATCATGTAACAGTGTTCAAAATGTTCTCTCTTTCTGAATGATTGAAAATGTTATTGAATGCAATGCATATTTTTACCTATCTACGAATAATATATATTAAATAGATAAGCTGAATATTCTGAATAATACAGACATGTTCGTACTTCACTTGTTTATGCGAAAATAAAATAAAAAGTCATCGTTGTCATGCAATACACAATACGTGACGTTGGTCTTTCACGAGCCTCGGCGTGTCATACACAAATCTGGGCACTTTTGAAATAACTGTTTTTCAAATACCATTTCAAATATCATATATGTAATCCCATTTCACGGTTATTTCATTTTTTAAATAAATAATAGTAATTTTTTAAATCACATTTCTTTAGAATGAAATAATTTAAAAAATTATAATTCTGTACTCGAAATAATGCATTTAATAGATGAAATTACAATTTTTTTTGCGCTATTAAAATGATAAAATGATAATGATTTAAAGAAAAAAGGCATTAGTTAATTTATAGCTAAAAGTAACACGAAAATTTTACATGCTCGTAAAGAACAATAGAAATTTATTCGTTATGTAAACAATAACACTGTTATTTCAAAGCTTCGTTGAAGTGTCTATTATTTCCTAGTTTACTTGATATTCTATTTGAAAATTATTATTAAAAATAAATCGATATTTCGATTCTTTCCTGATAACGTTGCGGGGAAGATAAAAGATTGAGATATTTTTATAAATAGGCATTTCCTATTTCTATTTCAAATAAAACTTCAAAGTTAGCTCATATATAAAAAAGAATTATTTTTATTTAACCATCGTTTACTTTGGATCAGTTCTCTAATTTGTGATTTTAAAAAATTTGCCTTGTTTGATATTTTTTATATTTCGTGCAAAGCTATACTATATTAAATTTATCTTGTTAAATTGGTGTCACGAGTTGCTTACACTGGATAAATTGTGAAATTACTAAATTCATTCCAGCAATTATCACTGCAATTTTTACATCTATTCAGCACTAAAATGTTGTGATTGTTTTGGAATTCCTGTATAGAGTTAAAATTGGACCATACGTTAGTTATTTCAAAACGTTATCCAAGTTCAGACCATGAGGCAAATGGAGATCAAATATGTAATACTTTTCCTCGTATTTAATTCCAGTTAATTACTATCTTAAATAGATCATACGTATATGTTCGTCATTCTTCTTAAAAAAATTTGATCGTTTTTACGATTTGCTAAGTGATCTAAATTAAAGTACCGCTGGTTTAGAACAGGAAACCATTTTTTTCTATTAGGCAGGTTACGTGTTTCCAGTGTTCAACAGTTACCAATGTCGTGTAATGTTCTTTGAAATAAGGAATTGTAGTATTTGAACACATCGTGATTTGAACACGTGATTATCAATTTATTTTTCTTCTTACGATTCTTTAAAACTATTTAACTTTTCATATATGATAGAAAATGCATGAAATGGTCACAGATTTGGCAACTACAATGAAACCTCCATATCCAAACGAATAACACTGAACCTTATATGTAATTATACGTATATACTATAAGTATACCTCTATAATGAAGTTTCACTTATGAAATATAATAACGTAACTAATAATAAAAATATTCAGTAATAAAATGTAGCAATTATGATCTATTTTTGATGAACCTGATTTATCAAGAAACGAGGATGTCGATGGTTGAGGACCCTCAGTGTTTAAAATTCTTTCACAGGAACTTTTTATAAAGATATAGTGATTGAAAATTGTTTCCTCTCCTTTAATTAGTTATAATGGTGTTGCAAAGGTTTTAATACTTCTGTAATCATTCACGTAACTTTAACGCTTCGTTTCACGAGAGGCTTGTACTCAATAATTTTGTTCTTCAAAGTTTGAGCAGTTCCAAACATTATGGAAAACTTTTTTCACGTCCACATTGTTTTTTTTTCTTTTCTTTTTAATGTGACAGACCGCTGATACTTGCGACCGCGGTTAAAGAGGTTTCATTCTACAATAATGATTCTTAAAATGACCCCTAGACGTGATTCGTAAGTGGAACATTTCTATCCCTCCCAACAGGGGGGATCCTGCTTGTGTGCCATTGAAGCGTGAAAGGCGATATTTAAAAAACAATGAAAACTGAAGTGTCGGCAACGATTTGTATACAGCAATGATTCTTAAAATGAACACCAGTGAAACGTGAAAGTCGAGGATCAACGATAGCACTGCGTGTAAATATTGGTATTGAATTTCGCCTCTGCTGTACGAAAGATGAACATACCGACCGTGGAGAAAAGTTCATTTTAAGAATCATTATCCCCTATTTGTCGCGTGATGGCGATCGCCTTAAACCTAATAATTAAAATACAGTCAAACTTCGGTTCACGGACGGTTCGAACAAGTTTTCCAAAAACAAAGCGTCTCGAATGACGTATCGTGTCTCGAGTTACAAACCGGACCTGAAGCAAAATCGAAGGGTGCCAAGAGACAGAAAAAAGTAAATCTCTTCCAAACAATATCACTTTCTCGCCTCCTTCCACTTACACCGTCAACTCCATACAAGCAGGGTAAAACATAATTAAGTTTTCATCTATATTTGACCTGCTCAGTATAGTATTTCTTTTTTGTGTGATAAATTGAACGGTTTCCATTGATTCTATATTAGGAACTAGTGCATAAAGTACTATTGTAAACAGTTAAATAAGCAATTATCTAGAGTCAAGGAACGAAATAATTCATTTTAGATTAAATCCTATGGAGAAAATTGTTGAGCTGCTCAAAATCTCGCGGCAATAAGCACGGGGCCAAATGACAACACCTATAATAATAATAATGTTGAAAATCGTGGGAGGATTCCCGTGTCTTCTGTTTGAGTCGAGTCGAGTCGTTTGTTCGAGCCGTATTACTGTAATTGATTTATGTTAAACTATGTAATACTTAAGGAATAATTAAAGTGGTTGTGTTTAATATTTAAATATTGTCTATATATATATATACAGGGTGTCTCAGCCGATTTTGACATCTTGATTTCCTCGATATTCTGGCACGTAGCGAAAAATGTTTCATAGGGAACTGAAATGGTATCGGGTGGGGCATATTCTTGTGTTATTAGTTTTTTCGTAGACGGACGCGTCAAGGATATATGAAGGTCAACTTTGTTTTTTAAAATGGAATGAGGTACTTTCTTTTGCATCAAACGATGCATCTAGACATTCTTTATAAAAAAGTACTGACCTATGTACGTCGAAAAGTAAGTAGATTAGGAGATATTTCAATTTAAATAATTCTAAAATTCGTACTGACATTAGCGTTTATTTATAAGTATGGTTCAATTTGACGACCATTTGCATCACAGCAGTTTTTAAATCGATGAAGTAAGGACTGATCTACGTTATTTAATGTATCGGTTGATATTTTACCACATTTACGTAAAACAACACTGACTGATACGAAACAGCGTATTATCAATGAATGTGGCAAAATATCCGCCGATACATTAAATAACGTAGGTCAGTCCTTACTTCATCGATTTAAAAACTGCTGTGATGCAAATGGTCGTTAAATTGAACCATACTTGTAAATAAACGCTAATGTCAGTACGACTTTTAGAATTATTTAAATTGAAATATCTCCTAATCTACTTACTTTTCGACGTACATAGGTCAGTACTTTTTTATAAAGAATGTCTAAGAAAGTACCTCATTCCATTCAAAAAAACAAAGTTGACCTTCATATATCCTTGACGCGTCCGTCTACGAAAAAACTAATAACACAAGAATATGCCCCACCCGATACCATTTCAGTTCCCTATGAAACATTTTTCGCTACGTGCCAGAATACCGAGGAAATCAAGATGTCAAAATCGGCTGAGACACCCTGTATACATTTAATCAGTTCCTATGCCAGAGGACCTGATATTTTTCAACAAAAATAATTTCGAACGACTTTCAGGAAAATATTAAGTTTGCGAACCGACATTTGACTGTAATTTGAAGAAGTTACGTTACCTTGTATCCTTCCGTGACCAGTCCAGCGTTCCTCTTCGCCAGGATGCACTTCATCCTCAGAATAAAGGCACGCTCTAGTTCGATTTCGCCTCTTGAATTTGGCGGCGAGAAACTGAAGCCCGTGAGGTCAGCGGGGCATTGCGGCAGATTTAAAACCGACTTCATCTCATCGTGATCGCTGTGGTAGATGTACTCGTATATGCTGTTCCCCGTCAATTCCACCTGCACGCATCGACACTTTCCGTCAGCGGATTCCGAGTATACGCGAAACTTCGATCTTATTTGTTCAAAGTTTGCAATCCACTCGCGAGAACAGTTACGCGTACAATCGCGTGAATAATGATCGGTAACCGTTGCGTTTACGTGAAATTATTAATTATTAATTAAGTAAAGGAAGGGATATCTCCGACCTGCGATAGTCCCAAGTGCACGCTGGCCGTTTCGCTTATGTACATAATTTTGCCGTCAGGCGCCACGACAAATATGAAACCGTCCAGGGTCTGAAACGAGAAACGGTCGATCAGAATCAATCCAAGTCAATGCTACAAAATTATTCTCCGTTTGGAATTTCCAACGTCTCGTCGCCACGTCAATGTCACGAAGACCGTTACGAAAATAGAGAATTGAAATATCAAGGGAAACTTAGATTGAGATTGACGTTCTTTGCAATTAATATTTGTAGCTGAACAAATAATATTTGAAGGGCCCATGGGGAAAAGAGGGAATGTCAATTTTAACAAATTTTTAATTTAACTATTTTTCGTGTGATTCTGTGCATGCTTCTTATTACTAATTGTATTTTTTTTATATATTAAATACAATCAATTTCATAGAAAGTTGGATTATTTTTAATATTGTTAGTGTTGATTATATTAATACAGTTTTTCACTAGTTGAGTATATATTAAAAATACGTTAAATCTATTCATTTTGTATTTCCTTTATACTTAATATATAAATTTAACTAGTGAAAAACTTTCTATTAATATAATTAATACTAATAATATTAAAAATAATCCAACTTTATATGAAATTGATTGGGATTATTTGAAAAGCCCTTAATATTAAATAATTTGAATTTGACGCTGAACCTCCAATCATTGCAGAAAATACTTCTAAACATATAGTTAACTCTTAACATAAATATTGTCGAATATAAATTAAAATAGAAAGGAATAATTAATCACAATAAAAATAATAAAATTAAAATTAAACTAGATATTAATCATCATATAATAAACTGTGATTTATCTAATAAAAAAAATTCTTTAGTTAATAATTTTATAACAATTGGTTGTAAAACCCTATAATTCCTCATTTATTAATTTTCAAATTATAACAAATAAATAAATAATTACTTAATGACTATGTCGCATTACAAATGTAAATGCATATTTCTGAGTTTTGTAACTATAAGAAATTGTGTTTTACCTTTTTTTAATTTAATATATCACATATTATGTACAATTATAAGTATATATGATAAAAATGAAGAATAATATCAGTTCTATTTTGATATGTATATGCATGAGAAAATGTGAAGTTGTGATATATTAAAAAATGAATTTTTCTTTTCTGAGAAGTGTTAAAATTTAATATTCCCACTTTTTCTGAGAACTCTATTTGTTAATACAATTGTAGTGTAGAAATTAAAAATATTCGATAATGCGATGGTGTATTTTTCTTTTTCTAGTATTTTTATTGATAGTAGCGTTATTTACTATTTTACAAATACTAGGGTTCTTTCATTGTAAACAATTTTGCAACACGTTGTAAGTTTGTTGTGCTGGTCACCAGTGATTACAATGGCAATCATGTTAATAATCATTAATCAAATTTTGTTATAGATCATTAATTAAATAATTTTTTTTTAGTTTGAACATACCAATATTACACTTGAAGCAGTTAACATTGATTAAATTATTATGTGAAAATTAGAAACATTGAGTACTTCAATAATATAAAATTTTCAGTAACATTAATAATATTTAAATGTTTGTAACCATTAGGGATTATTTATGTGATCATTTTAAAAAAAAACGGTATATCTTAAGTGTGAGTCACCGTAATTATAGTAATTGACAACACTTAATGTATAAATGTTATATAGTTCATTGGATTTATATACTTCTCTACATTCTTTTTGTCAAGAATTATGTTATGTCCTTCTACTATCATAACGTACAAAATTTGAACGATATCTTCTAAGTTTAAAACTAATGAATTATTGTAATATTAAAAGAGGTCAAAGAAACAATTGAATTCAAAATCAAATCAAATCCTCAACATTGAAATAAAACAGATACTTCCAATTTGCAAAATTCATCAACAGGGTTATTAACTCGAAAATCTATAAATTGTTAAACCTAACGATGACCTCTGTAGATCGGAAATTTATCACAATAAGCAAAATTAAAGGGGATTTGTTTCGACCTTGACAATTTTATTTTACATTACTTCAGAGTCGAATTGGACTATTCAATGATTTCAAACGTTTAATAAACTTAAGCAATGATTGCACTAACTATTGATATTATGCTTTAATTGATGTTCTTTGTCTTATATTGTAATATGCTGCACTATACTGATTTGAAGAGATTTAAACGATAAGCAAAATCCACTTACTTGCAAAATATGAGTACCCAGTTCTTTGATAGCAGTTTCTAGGGGGTTGATAGGCGGTGGGACGGCACCCCATTCGTCTCCGAGACCTGAAAAATTATTGTGCAATTGTGAGTCTTTTCTCCCACCAATTTTCTGGAGCTCGACCAACAAAATACAATGGAATATTTTATTAGCACAGTATACTGTTTGTTAATAAATGAGATAAAAATTAAAAAGTGAGCCACTCCTTTTTTGTTAGTGTTGAAAGCAAAAATAGCTTATTCGAGACCAGATAATTAATTATTTACCATCAGGAGAAAGGGCAAATCATGCTAGGAATTTGAAAATTTGTTAAATTAGAACAAGAGTACAGTAAATATTATATTTGCGAAGATCGAGTTGATTCGATATTTCAGAAATGATTCTGGATTAGGTCCTAAATTGACCGCCGAGTTTTACGATGAAAATTAAAAAGATAGTTGTTACAATGGTTCAGTTGTTCGTCACACATAAACAAAGAAAAAGATTAAGAACTACATTTCTAAGGGATAAACACGATGAAACGATATTACATTTGCAGAAGGAAATACATTCAATCTGTTTGGAGTTGACGAACCAAAAGAATGGTCTGGCATAAATTCAATCAAGAATTTGAAATAAAAAATCTCCAACCGTGAAACACGACGATGAAACGTTCGATCCAAAATCTTTCAAAGTATTTCGAAACGAGACGAAAGGAGTAAGTAATTCCAAAATGATCGATGGCGGAAAGAAAGACGTTTCGTCTGAGAGTATGGCACATATTGCGACACGTCTCCTTATCCTGACGATCCAATATACATGTTTCTAGGGACGTTTCATACTCAACGTGTAACTAAGCCTATAGCCAAGTATTCCGTGTCTGCGCATTAATTACAATACATTCAGCCGCGTGCAGCACGGTTGCAGCTACAGAGGCGTTTTCTGCAGCCGCGTGAAATTTCGCGGAAAATGGCTTGATCGTTGGCATCTCGTCAACGACGTGCTGTTCGCTAAATTTTATCAGATATCGCGTTTATCGACACGCCGCGCTAATAATAAATTTGATAGGATAGTTATCGTGCGATCATCCTACCGCAAGTAGTCCATAAGAGAATCGTTTATCGATGGAATTGCATCGCGACAAAACAATTTTAATCATTTGACACGCGTCTTGTCCGATAACGTATAATTTAGTCAGTTTTGATTACTGAAGATTTGTAAAACATAAATAAATAAGTACTCAAAATGTGGAAATTAAGGAACTTATACTTTTTTTATAAAGAAAAATCCCTAAAAAGACCAAAAATGTGGACCTATATCCGTTTCTATGGAACTTTTGTTATAAGAATTCTAAAACATCTGTTTCAAGAGAACTTTTTAAAAAAATATTCTTAAAGTAAAAGTTTTTTCTCATGCAAAATAAATAAAAGTTAGTTCTTTGGTTTTTGTTTTTGTACTTTGTTTCGAAATTGATGGTAATGAAATAAATTGCTGCACTCATAGAATTCGACGAATCGTCAAATTCGGTCTGAAAGCTCTTAAATAAAAATGAATTGAAATAAATTAGATAGTTTTGTTTCTAAAAGATACGATGTTCCCAAAAATATAACATAACATCGTCTCTGGTGTTTAAATAACTTAAAAAAAAATTATGAAAATCTATAAAATCTAAATAAAAAAGAAAATGTCGACCGTCTCGTTTGCCGACTTTTCACGTGGAAGTTTGTAACAATTTCACGCCCGTTTACCCGTTCCGGCGCTAATTTTCTACGCGAGTGAAAAAGACACCCCTAAAGTGTCGCAGGGAGGGCGTCGTGTCTTTTTTTCGTTCCGCTTCTTTTTTTCCCAACGAATAAAGACGCGGCTGTATTCTAGAGGGATGCAGCCACTTGAAATTCAATTCACCGATGTCGTAAGAAGGGAGGCGAGACGGGAGGAGCCATTGTAACACTATAACAGCCCCCATGCTTTGCTTACAAAGCATCAGGGACTAACAATGCATTAAGTGCGCAATCACATCCATCTCATCCGATACTATTTGCCCTTTGCGCTTAAGTGTCCGGTGCCTGAATTAACAAAGAATAGCGTTTCATCCGTTTACCGCTAAGTGAACCTTATTGCCGGCACGTGGTTCCGTCGCACGTAGACGTTTGCGTGGCAAACTAATCGATTTGTTTCCTATTATCAAGCGGTTTCTACGCTGGTCCTCAGTCAATCAAGAGTGAAGAGGTCTACTGAATTATCTCTTGAAAGAATACCACCGAATCCATTTAACTTTGGTGAGGATGGTTTGTGAAATATTACAATAGGTGATTTATGTCATTTTTTCTGGTTACAAAAATTAGACTTGCATTTGTATTAGACAAACTTATCCTATCATTATTAATGTTTGTAAATACAATAGTCCCTTGCTAATGTTCGTTACTGTTTCCTTCGATATTGTTCGCGAGGTCATCCCCAACAACACTTCGAACTGTATCGACGAGGTAAACGTTGCAAGCTTGGTCATTAACCCCTTAACGCTCATATTTCTCGGGTTAACCAAGAATGATCAGTTTTCTTTATTTGATTTGCTCCTAAACTATATAAAAATGCGGTTTTTGTTAACTACAATGTTGCGTCTAACGTAAAATTTGAAGGAAAACAAATATTATCATCCCTTAAACCGCCAGTCAGACTCGGGTATGAACGCTAAGGGGTTAAACGTTCATACATCAGACTAACCCAACTGCCTTGGAAGCATAGAAAACAAAGTTTAATAATAAGGAAGAAGAACGCACTAAAAAGATGCAAAACAATTAACCCTTTGTACTATAATTGTTTTCCTAGTTTGTTCTCGGCCAACTCTGATTTAATTTTTGTAGTTTTGATATCACATGTTAGGCGTGAAATCATTGCTTGCAGTTATTTAAAGTTTAATGTTACATTAACAAAACGATTGTTCAGAAAAAATGTATATCAAAATACGTTATTTATATTTTTTTAAAGTATGGTACTATTTAAAACAATCTCCTACATGTAAAAATGGCTTCTTGTCGCAAATTGCACAAAAGTAGACTGTTATTCGCCTTCCATTTTTTATTTTTTGATTTGAACATACTAGGCAATATGAACAATAATTGAATTTCGGATACACATATAACTGACTTTATTAAACAACTGGGATGATCATAAGTTTTGTACGCAATTCAGTGCGGTTGCATTTGAACATTTGATAAGGGAAACTAATATTATTATGCTGAAAAGTGTACAATACAAGACTTTTATGTACACACACATAATTTCAAAGCACTTTTTTAAATAAAACTGCTTCCCACTAATTTGTTCTATTAACTATACAGAGTGTTTGGTCACCCCTGGGAAAAATTTTAGTGGGCGATTCTAGAGGTCAAAATACGACGAAAATCAAGAATACAAATTAGTTGATGATGAAAATGCGCAGGATTTCGGGGGTATGTCTATTCACCAAAAATGATTGTAATTGACCCCCGCAACGGAAAATAATTTTTTTTTCAGCCGAAAAATTTAGGCATTTACCCCCTGCCGATTTTTCTTAACACTTCGTTTTTGATTGTTAGTAAGTTTGTTTAGCACTCTATAGAAAAGTTGCCTAATACTTTTTCGTAGCAACCCATGAGCTCTACTTCCAGATTAAATTTCAATCAGATACGCCTACTATTGTAGGAGTTATGGTCGTTTGAAAATTGGACCATTTTTATAGGGGTTTTCTCACTTTACGAGGAAAAGGAACAACTTTTCGAAAATTGTTAGAATTTCTACATATTCTTCACGAAAATACGTGTTGTTTGCATTTCGAAACTTTAAAATACTTCCTTTCGTTCAGAAGTTATGACGTTTTAAAAATATGCAAGAAATTCCGGGGAACCATTTCTGGCCTCACATTAGATTTTCGGTAAGGAATTTTTTTCTCGAAAGTGGATAGGATTTCGGGGGTATGTCTATTCATAAAAAATGATTGTAATTGACCCCCGCAATTGAAAATATTTTTTCCAGAATGATATGACACTTCTCATTTTCACCGAAAAATTTAGGCCCTACCTTAAAAATTCGTTTTTCATTTTTAGTAATCTTGTTTGACGCCCGACAGAAAAGTTGTCTAATACTGTTTTGTATATACTCATGAGCTTTACTTCAGAAAAAAGTTTCATTGAAATATATTCACTATTGTATGAGTTATGGCTGTTTGAATATTGAATCATTTTTATGTAGATTTTCTCACTTTACGGTGCCAAGGAATAACTTTTTTAATATTGTTAGAATTTCTACATATTCTTCACTAAAATACATGTTGTTTGCATTTCGAAACTTTAAAATCCTTCCATCCGTTCAGAAGTTATGACGTTTTAAAGATACGCAAGAAATTTTCGAGTGACATTTCTGGCCTCATATTAGATTTTCGCTAAGGAATTTTTTTCTCGAAAGTGGGTAGGATTTTGGGATTATATATAATGACAAAAAATAATTGTAATCGAAAATAATTATTTTAGAACGTTTTGAAAAATTTTTAATTTAATTTTTTTAATAACTCTTTAACGAAGCCTCAGCCAAGAAAATGATATTCTTAATTTTTGTTTCATTTTTGGATTTAGAATCTCCTATTAAAATTTTTCCCATGGGTGGCCGAACATCCTGCATATAATATTAACAATTCGCTAATGGTTAGATAATAAGTTTTCAAGATAATGGATTGGTACGACCAATTGGTAAAACTAATCGAATGGTCATTGAGATAGTTTAATCTCTGGTCACGATTCCTTTTTTATGGAGACATTCAATATTTGTAGTGTTTCAATTAAAAAAAGCAAGGACAAGTGCACATTGCAATTGCATCGTTGCAACAAAAACATTAACTATAAATTCATTTCTAAAATCGAATTTGTAAAGAATGTCACGCTAGAGGTGGCTTAAGAGTTTTGGGGAAAAATAGTTTTGTCACGCCAGAGGTGATTTCATAGTGCAAAGGGTTAAAAAGAATAGACTGACGATTGTTGGTGAATGTGTTAAAAGGCGTAACATTATTAAAAATCTTCTCTATTTTAAAGTTGAGCTATCATACGAGAATCATTTGTAAAAAACCTACTTCGACTTCTGAACGATTTCAGAATCTGTAGTATAAGTAGACGTTGAATATTTCTATTTCATTCGGTCTCAGTGTTTGTCACTTTCGCCTGGAATGCGATCGAATCGATCAAAGATAACATACTTCCCTCGATAACGTTCGCGTCACGGCCCAAGCCAACACTAACAGAGACAACCTCTAGTAAAATGTATGATAAATCAAACTCGATTTTCTCGAAAACGAAGCCGCGAATGAAAAAATTGTATTTCAAAATTTCTTCCTAGTTAGTTGTACTATGATTTTCCAGACCCTCTATATTTACCACTACGATATTAGTAATCAACGAATCGATTGTTCATATATTACCGTGCGGAAACACCGCTCGCATCTTCAAGTAGCTCGTCGTCAATCGAATGATGCTGGCCTTGTCCAGTTGCTTGGTGATGGGCGACGGAAGCGGCAACAGCTCGGCGAGCTTTAAATATTCTTGATTCTCTTTCACACGTCGCGAACGCGCTGCGTTCTTGCTTTTGTCCTTCATCTTGGCTTCCTGGGGGCTGGACGTACCAAGGATCGAATTATTGTTAAGATGATGATTGTGCGAGTTCATATCTAGATTATCCGAAGTGGGTTTGCAGCCTGTAAAAAAAAAAGAAACGAGCTGTAAATAAAACTGTCGCGTCAGGGTCGAATTTCGAAATTCTTTCGCTTTAGCATGGTTTAATTTAGCGCGTCGTAAGGTAACAGAAAGATTAGAAGTTTCGCAGGAAGAAAAGGGACGGGAGCACGAGAACTCACTAATTGCTTCTTCAGCGTCTACCAGTTAGTACTCTACAAAAGTAGGACACGGTTCTGCCACATTAATATCTATAGCGTCGAGACCTTTTTTCCTCGCGCTGCGGCACGCTCCATCGAGAACCAGATCGACCAGAAAATCGTCAAAACGTAATTATATTCGAGGAACGGCGTTTATTTTTGTTGAACGAAAGAATCGACACTGAGCGTAAACAATACGCCGGGGAAACGGAAAATTTCAGCGATCGCGTCGAGAAACGATTTTCCCTTGGTAACGTTGCCAATGTTGCGATCGATGAATCGTGGCCGAGAAATGATACAGTGCGAAAAGCGTAACGACGTCGAAGCTCCTCGTTATAAGAACCGAAAGCAAAGGGAGCAAACCGTCATTAAAACGCCGGCAAGAGAGCAACCTAACAACGTAGCTACCCATCTTCCGAGACTTCTCACGGATGGAAATTCGCTTGAATAATGCATTTTTTTCCTGCACCGTCGTTTCAGCCACCGATTGCGCGACTCAGTTGCAATATCATTCCGCGAGGCGTGTAAAAATGTGCTTTGACTTTGAAGAAACACGTCGATATTATTGTTGCGACTGGGTGAACTTCTCTAGAATGCTTTCTAACTATTAATTTTTAAAAAACAAGTGAAAATTCATGATATTAGATACAATCGTAATGAGCTATTCGTTATCCGTCGAATGTTTATGATCGTCTTCACGAATAGAATTTCGATTTTATACGTTGCAGAGATCGAATTGACATATTGGTAAAATAACAGTATATTTAGGTACTTATTTCGTTACAATTTCAATACATTTTCCAGTATAAGATTGGTAAATGTTCTATTATAGAAAAAAAGAATCACAAATTAAAAGTTATCGTTAGGCCTAGTATGATTATATAAATTATAGATAATATAAAATTGGTTATCACAACAAAAGAAAAAAGTCTTCAACGTGTTGCTATTTTTTAAGTTATCTACTTTTTTTCTTTTGTTTTAGTATGCGATATAGACAAACACATACTAATTAAGAATCTTTCACGTTTTGTCATCTCGACCAGAATGACCGGGATCATGGACTATGTTTGAGAGTATGCAGGTCATCAATTTTAACTTTCTTTCGCTCAAAAAATTTTTAAATGTCACTAAATTATGTATAAATAAATCTTGTAAATGTGATTACAAAGGGCGTTATAGTTTCTTTGCAAAAAATTCCCCTAGAAAGTTTAAAAAAGCGCACTTCACGTTCGAATATCCCCTTAAAGCGTATTTTATGATTGCACATAGGATATACTACTTATTTGAACTAATGTGAAATAGAATTCATATATTTCTTTCACATATTCATCTTTGATCACTTTTGTATTTATAATTTATTCTCAATTATCTATATAATATCGGTTCGATCTCTCCTATGTATAATACATTTTGAAAAGTATTGTATTCTTCTTAGCAATACCGGTGTGGACCCTCTTATATCGGTATTAAAATTGGTTCATGAAATAATGGTTACATTACAATATCATCAAAATAAATACCGATATAAAACTAAAATCTGAAAATATATCGGTTTTTGGTTTCTGATACGTTGCACGTTTACATATTGTACCTCTTTTCACTCTTTAAACAATTAAAAAATGGCCGGAATCATGGACACTGTGAACCTTTTTTAAAAACGACTATGTTGGACTATGACTGTAAAATTTTCAAATGTCGTGTAAATGAGGAAATTTAGAATTGTTATTTTGAATTGGTTTTACTGGAACGATAGCAGAAAGAAAGGGAGATAAAGGAGATAGAGAACCGCAGAAGGCTCGCGGTATATTGCCGCGGTACCTAGAAGCATTACAGAGGAGGTAATATGCATAACATCGTAGGTATAGTTCAGTTACACCTATTTTCTATATTCTCAGAATGCACGTTTAAACATCGTTTGTTCTCCTCGTGGCACAAAGAAGCTCGTGAAACTTTCTTCCGCTCCACAATTGTGGAACGAACAAGTCCGAGAAAATGTGAGTCTGGAGGCTCAGAAAGAAGTTTACAATTGGTCGTACAGGAAGAATAAATTCTAGCGTTGACTGGAAAACGTTCATATCGTATGTCTATTTTAAAATTATCGTGCTGATGGAATGATTATAGCAAATGTCATTTGTCAAGTTGTTTCGTAGATACTTTTTGAAAAGGAGTGAAATGGAATAATTTATTTACGATATTTGATCATCTTATTTTTCGATTCCTGTTTTTGCAAACATTTTCTTCGTTTTGATGAGAAAAATCAAGTCAGGAATTCTTTTACTGCGTCAAAATTTCTTAATTTCTTTTTTTTTTTTAACTCTTGAATAAATATTGAATCGATGGAGTTATGTTTGGAGGTGTAAGAGGATTCATCACATTCGAATTCATTTAGTTTCGATTAAATGCTGGACAATTCTTTTCGTTACGGATGAAATCAGTATGGTAATTTATTATTAGACACTACAATTATGGTCAATTTTGAGAGATATCTACTTTACAGAGAACGTGATAAATATGTATTAATTTGGGTAGGAACGAACGATTCAAATTCCTCACATTTGTTTACAAGTTTGCAAACCCATTTCCCTGAAATGGAATTAGAAACCATTGATTCAAATAGAAAATGTCTGTTTGAATTTCTTTCATGCGAGTCAAAAAGAATTGAAATATCGACGAATAGAAAATTATGACAGAAAATGAGGAAAAATGTATCAAAGATCACTGATCGTAAACAAATAGTTTTACTTCACTTTTCAAAAATAGAAACACACTCAAAACACATGGATGTCGCAACGCGTCATCGCGAAAGACATTCAATTATAGAAGGTCTCGATCCAAAATAATCAATCGAAAGAAAACTGCTGTACCTTTCTGAGCTTGTTTACGCCTCCAGCTACCGATATAAGGATCGCTTCCTAAAACGACGCTGCAACCATGATTCTCAACCATGGGCGCCATCTTCTATCGCGCCGGTGGATGCGCTCGAGTTTTATCAATCCGCCGAACGATTGCTACCATAAAGCTCTGTAAGCAACACTTGGATAATTCGAAGATATCGATGATGGCTCTTGTCACAACATTTTCCCGACCACGTGTCACGCGTTATGTCAAAAGTTTCCTCAACGAGTTCCTCTTTACGTCAGTTTCTTGTTTATCCTAACACTTTTACCCGGTCGCGTGCACGGCGAACTGTTCGTCGCAGAAAAAAAGGTTCGATCTGGAAATTTCGATTCCTGTCACGACCTTGAACGTCGAGACCTCGACGTGGATGCACGTACGACGACCTGGTGTCCGTCGCACTTAAATTACGACTAGTGCACGACACGCGAAGTTCTTCTTTTCGGGAAGACCTCGTGTCGGGGGTTCGGTCCTACTCTCTTCCTCTCCGACGGCGTGTTTCTCCTCCTACCGCCTGTTCCTTCGCTTTCATCTCATCCCCAATGCTGTTTCCCGATGGGGTAGGTAAGCCGTGAGGTACCACCCTTATTTTAAGCTCCACCCTTGGAGCAGGGTCAGTCGAAAGACCCCTCCGCACACGCACGTGGAAACCTGGTTGTCTGAGTTCTCCGTTTCCGAACGGCGCGAACAGAAGGGAGAGAGAATGACAGCTACGGGGAGAAAGAGGAACAAGTCAAAGGACGAAGGAGACGGAGAACGAGGTCGTAGACGGTGTAAGGTCGGCTGGGGAAAGCCCAAGTGAATCGAACCACGACCGTGCTGGACGGTTGTGCTCGCTTGTGTCGGCGGGTGGCAAAATCGAAAGCAAAGGCGATTGCTGGTGCCCGTAGTGTTCCGTTGACGAGCCGCCATAGGATATTATAGCTCCCCCTCTCACCCTTCGCGTCCGCAGCTTACCACCCGTACGACCGATGGCACCGCTCTCACATCCTGGGAATTTTAGGACTCCTCGGAACTCGAGCCCTCGAAACTTCGCGTTCGTCGGATGTCGGGGGACTGCTGGTCGGTTAATAATTGCCGAAAGGGTTGTTCTCATTACATAACGCGATTTATGACCATCGAGACGGTGATTGTGGCTCGGGGATTTCGTGGAGACTTGAACGATTCAGTTAAGGGGACATTCTAGAGTAAAGTACGTTTTTTTAAACTTTCTGGGGGAATTTTTTGCAAACAACCTATAACAATTTTTGCAGTCTGCTAAGAATAACTGAAAATCGATAAGGTAGTACGCGATCTACGTTAATATATACGAAATAAACCGACGTGTGACATCTATTGTCTTGAGACAAATGTATCTACAATGTATGTTGCATGTATGTATGTATATAAATATGGACTGCGCTGTGAGAAATTTTCTAGAAGAAAAGTGTGAGTCGTTGTCGAAGTGATACAGTAATTTGTAATACATAATCTGTTAGTCATCTAAAATAAAAACCCTAATATAAAATTGACACAGTCACATTTATAAGATTTATTTATACATGTTTTGTAGACATTTTTCTATTTCGCATTTGTTCAAATAAATAGTGTTGTATATCGATTGTACAATTATAAAATATGCTTTCAGGGGATATTCTAGCGTAAAGTGCGCTTTTTTAAACTTTCTTGGGGAATTTGTTGCAAATAAACTATAACACCTTTTGCAGTCAAATCTGCAAGATTTATTTATAGTGACATTTTTTAGTGACATTTAAAAATTTTTATATAATTTATCACCATAAAATTGGTGACATTGCATGCACTCAAACACAATTGCTTTTGAAAAGGTCGTCTCACGGCGTCTAT